CTGAGGTTGGGACTTGGCCATTCGGTGTCTCTCCCTGGGACCTAACAAATGTGCCAACTTTAAATGGAGGCTTTTACATAAAAAATCATGATTTGAAAAGTAAGCCAAACAGAGCATCTAACACCATAGGACTCGCTGAGTATTTATGGAAATGAGTTTACCGTTCCTATAGAAATGATGTGATTCTGTAAGATTTAAAAAACTCGGGGTGGGGGGATCATGAACGCATTGCCACGTCTCACCCGACCGTCACCGCAGACAGAGTCAGCATTGACCCTTACGGAACTCCATTCCAGGCTTCTTTTGACTCACAGATAGCAGGACATACAGGGAGAGGAGAGATACTAAGGGAATCAGGTCTTATAAAGAACCACGTCGTCTACGTAAAGATTAGTAAATGCATTTTTATTAAATTTAGCTGAATTTAAAAGAAGACTGAAGTGAGCCGGCATGGTGGTGCACACCTATTATCTCAGTGGCTCAGGAGGCTGAGGCAGGAGGATCCTGAGTTCAAAGCCAGCCTCAGCAACTTAGCAAGGCCCTAAGCAACTCAGTGAGGCCCTGTCTCTAAATAAAATACAAAATAGGGCCGGGGATGGGGCTCAGGGGTCGAGTGTCCCCGAGTTCAATCCCCAGTACAAAAAAGAAAGACTGAAGTGATATCAATAGGTATCACTCCTGAACTTCAAATGTATAGAAATACGACACAATATGAATCTCTAAAAGAGTCAACTGCGTAAGTAATGTGTTTCAAATTCACTCTATATATGTGTGATTTTAAATATGGTATTTGGTGCAATAAAAATGAAACAAATCAACATTCAGTTATAAACTACAGTGTGTTCCTGGACTAAAATGGGAATTTTATGGCTGGGGGTGTAATCCAATGGGAGAGCACTTGCTTGAGGCTCTGGGTGGGTTTGAAAGAAAGAAAGTAGGGGGAGTGGGGTGGGAGGGAGGGAGAAGGGAAGGAAGAGGGAGGGGGAGGGGGAGGGAGGGAGGGAGGGGGAGAGGGTAGTTCGCTGGGGGAACTCTGTGGTCTTCCCATTTAAACCACTGTCCCATTTGATAGTCTGCCCTCAATTCATCTCAACCTCTCCTGACCTCTCTCAACTAACCTTCTCTTCCCTTCACTCCCCCAAATCAACTGATAACTAGGAAGTAATCATCATGGCTGATTCATGTTCATTCATAGTCATTGCTTAATCAGTATTAATAATTTACTATTAACAATTTACTATGAGATTAATAATTTATATTATTAATAATCATAATTAATAGCTTACTATTAATTAATTAATTTATAATTAATAGTAAATTAATTTACTATTAATAATTTACTATGAAAATATCCAGTGAAGAAAACTTTTACTTTTGAAACAAGTTGTACCCTGCAATGAAAGTTTGAGGCACATTTCTCTTCTATTTCTGACTCCTTGGGAAAAACAGAAAAACAGGAGACAAAGTAGAGATCCTATTCCAAGAGTAACCCCCAATGAAAATTCCCCAAATACGTGGAATATAAGTCTATAAATTTAAAACTAACACAGGTAATTTTCCTTTCCTTGTATCCATCTGTAAATAATAAAACTAAAGAAGAGAAAGCTAAGCCAAGATTTGGGGGGTTTGAAATAAAATTTACAGCTTTGTTACAATAGAAAGTTGGACTGCCAAGCCCTCTCTGAAAATAATGTTTTAAACATGTTTTATGCAGTGAAATACTCAAGGGCCAGGGTTGGCATTCAACTCTGTTATTGCAATCACCAAATGTCACTATTGCCACAGGGCCACAGGGCAGTGGTAATACAAATAACATTACACTTCCTTCTCTTGATTTCCCCACAAACTGTAGCGAAGCAAACTTTCATGGAGACTTAGAAGCATATAGAGCTAAAGTTAATGACCCAAGAATAAACCTTCCTCCACACTTGGATGTGAAATATTCCTGTCTAAGGAAATAGATCAAAAATATTTCCTCTGGCTTCACGGCTTGATGCAACCAAGGTCTAGTATACTAATTCCAAAGACTCCCTAGATTTTTTCAAATTAGGAGGAGAGAGACAAATTGTGAATTAATGTAAAAACAAAATGTAGAAGCTGGTGATGGAGAATAGGGGGGGTGGGGAGAAATAATTTTGGTTCTCAGTCTTCTAGAGACAGAACCCTCAGCTCAATATCAAGGCTATGTGATCCCATTTGAGGGCCTTGGTCCTAATGATGGTGATGTTCTGTAGTTCTGTGCTGCCTACTATGGCAGTTCTGGACAACACAGGGCTGAATTCAATATGGTAGCCCTAAACAACATATGGCGGCTGAATTCAATATGGAAGCCCTCAACAACACAGGGCTGAATTCAGGATGGTAGCCTTCAACAACCCAGGGCTGGATTCAGTACGGAAGCCCTCAGAAACATAGGGCTGGGTTCAGTATGATAGCCCTCAGAAACATAGGGTTGGATTCAATATGGAAGCCCTCAACAACACAGGGCTGAATTCAATATGGAAGCCCTCAACAACACAGGGCTGGATTCAATATGGTAGCCCTCAGAAACACAGGGCTGAATTCAATATGGAAGCCCTCAACAACACAGGGCTGAATTCAATATAGAGCCCTCAACAACACAGGGCTGAATTCAATATGGAAGCCCTCAACAACACAGGGCTGAATTCAATATGGAAGCCCTCAACAACCCAGGGCTCGATTCAATATGGTAGCCCTCAGAAACATAAGGCTGAATTCAATATGGTAGCCCTCAACAGCACAGGGCTGAATTCGGTATGGAAGCCCTCAAAAACACAGGGCTGTTCAGTGCTTAAAATATGCCTAGGCGTCGGTGAAACTGAACTCCTTGCTGCATTCAATGCTGATTGGAATTTAAGTTGCCACATGTGGCTAGTGACTGCACTGTTGGACAGGAAATGTCCAATGATGTGCATATGATCTTGGGTCCATGATGGAAGGAGGATCTACCCTCTCAGTGTTCTTCATCTTGAAGCAGATACTTGTTAGACAACAACAGATGAAGCACTCAGACACACGGACACAATGTGCAATGTGCACACACGTCCCAGTGCCCGTTCTCAAAGTTGATGCGTCTAAATCCATGGTCAGGAAGAGAATCTGCTTCCTAACTGGAGAGTAACCCCTCACACTGAGAATGCCTTGTGCTGCTTTGTTTCTGTGCCAGGCCCCTGCCGCAGCCAACACTGAAGAAGCCAAGGCACTCATTTTTAGACTGACCCACCCTTCAGTCAGACAGACATTAAATTTGCTAAACCTTCACTTTTATTCCTTCTCTTTACTTTATGCCAGATTACATTCTTAAACTAAGCAAGCATTAGACGCTTTGATGGTTTACTTCTGGTCAGAGCAGCATTCCAGCCAGCTCAGGTATTTATTTGCTTCAGTTACAGTGATTCCTTTGGAGGGAAATATTTGGCTCAGATGAGGACCAAGCCACTAACTGTTACTTAATGGCATTGCAAATATTTTAAAGTCAGGTAAACTCCGCCAAGGCCCTCATGTATCAAAAGAGAAAAAAAAGCAAGGTATTTTTCTCCTCTGTGCAAGATCCCAGTTTCTCATTTCTTAGTGATTCCATTTTGTCAAAAGATAATAGAACGTCTTTGAGTCAGCACATACCCTCTGCATAAGGAAATTGAATACCGTGAATATGTTAGACCTAAAAAATACTCAAGATAGATTTTTACATGATGTAGTAGATAAGGGGTGAGCACTTATTTTCCATCAATGGACAGAAAGCAAATGTTGGAGGTTTTGCACACGACCTGGTTTCTGTTATGGCCCCCGCACTCTGCCCTGAGAACACAAAAGCACCCAGACAATATGCAAACAAATGAGCTTGGGGGGCTGGGGTTGTAGCTCAGTGGTGGAGCACTTACGTCACACGCAGGAGGCACTGGGTTCGATCCTCAGCACCACATCAATCAATAAATAAAACAAAGATATTGATTGGGTCCATCTACAACTAGAAAATATTTTTTAAAAAAACATGAGCATGGTTGTCTTCCAATAAAACTTTATTTACAAACACCATGTGGACGCGGATTTGGCCTCTGGACTGTGGTTGGCTGGGTGTCCAGAGTCTTCTCTTAACCTTAAAGGTCCACAACATGTTGTGTGAAGCTATCTCCCTTACAAACCGTGAGTGTGGACTGTATCTCCTAAAGACCCCCTTATAAAACACGGCTTTATAGGAATTTTGAACACCAGACAAGATCACATTGCCTTCCATCACTGAACCTCCAAACCACTGACCTGGGGTCTTGTCACAGCCTACCATCTGCACATATGTCACTTGGCATCACTGTAGGACGACAACCCAAAGCACACCGGCTGATCCAGGGTCATCCTTGTCTGTGCAAGCACTGGACCAAAATCTATCGTTTTATCCTCTGTATTCACGCAATTACAACAGATTCCTGCCGGAAAACATCCAAGCAATGAACCCAGGCAGATTTCTTTGGAACAAAGCTTTTGCATGAAAACTCACATTACTTTGTGATAGCCCTTATTATTGGGTTGGATCTTACACAATCAGGGAGTGGTCACTATTGCATTGCGTAAAGAAAACCTGTAGCGAAGTCCACCGGGGTTCGGGAGGTACAGCACACGCTCAGTAGTCGAGCTATAGCCCAGCTGGGCTTCCTACTCTGTCCTGGGGATTTTGACTGAACTCAAATAACACGTTTGCCGGAGATGGTTTTCTTGTTTTTGGTAGGACTGACTTGGGGGACCAGGTAATGATTTCTATTGGGGGATTTTCCTTTCCATGGTAGGGCAAAAAAGTCAAGTATTCCTAACGATGTACAATTCTGCTGTATTCACATACACGGACGTATGTACGTATAATTTAAACAAAAATTTACTTCCTAGTTTAAACATGAGCTATAGAAAGTAGCATGCTTAAAAATGTTTCAAGTTCCACTATTTGAATGCGTTTTACTCTTTTTTAAAATTAATTTATTTGTTCTAATCAGGTATAAATGAAAGAAGAATGATCTTCGATTCATCGTACACAAATGGAGCACAATTTTTGACCTCTTCAAAGTAGGGTCACACCACTCATGCAATCATACATGTACCTGAGGTAATAATGTCTGTCTCATTCTACCATCTTTGCTACCCCTGTGCCTCCTCCCTCCCTCTCCTTTGCCCCATGTGAAGTTCCTCCACTCATCCCATGCCCCCCCCCATTATGGATCCGCATCCACTTATCAGAGAAAACATTCGGCCTTTGTTGTTTTTGTGGATTGCCTTAATTCACTTAGCTTGATATTCTCCAACTCCATCCATTTACCTGCAAATACCATGATTTTATTATTTTTGAGTGCTGAGTAATATTCCACTGTGTACATATACCACAGTTTCTTTGTCATTCATCTGTTGAAGGGTATTTCGGTTGCTTCCACAGGTTGGCTATTGTGAATTGAGCTGCTATAAACATCGATGTGGCTGCGTCACCGTAGTATGGTGGCTTTAAGTCCTTTGGGCGAATGAGTTTAGCATTAGGATTATACATTGTTGGTTTGGCTCATTGCATTTCCAGAAGGAACTCACTTTCTCTCTCTGGTTCTGCAGAACAGGGTGTGGAGTGCACGTGAGGTCTGATGTCTAAGGATGGATTCTGTGTCAGCCCAGGGCCACATTCCCCAGCTGCTGAGGCTCGACAAGAATGCAGGGACAGGGGTCAGCACTAAAGTATCGTCCCCATCCCAGCAGACCACACCTGACTCAGGTCTCTACTCCCACTCTATCTCCCCGGGCAGTGTCTTACCCTAGAGAACACAGAGGGGGCGCTGTTGTAATTTGGATCACAATGATGTGTCTCTGGATCTTTGATGTGTGGGGGTAGAGCTGAGCCGTGGAACACTTGCCTAGCATGTGACAAGACCCTGGGTTCTATCCCACTTCTGCAAAAACAAACAATCAAACAAACAAAAAGCTTATCAACCCTTGAATTGCAGCTTGTACAACAAAACTTTTTTTTTTTTTTTTAGCGAAACACATTAAGAGGAGGCAAACAGTAAGTGTCAACTTTACCCCTCAAAACACGAACCTGGTTTTGCTACTGAATGTTTTTCTAATGAAGGAAGCAGCCGCACAGGGGATAGTAGGGGGCTTTCTCGCTCTGGATTATCAGCCTCAGATTCAGTAGTTCTGTGTCCGTTGGTAAATTCTCAGCCACCCTGAAGTCCAGTTTTCCTGTTTCCAAAAGCAGATAATGTGAGAATCCGTACTGCAGGCTCTGCACACCCAGCCTGGAGATCCTAGAGACAGCACAGGTGAATCACTGGGGATATTGCATGACATTGATGATTCTTTTCAAAAGCGCGTGGCTATTCCTGATGAACATTTAGAACCGCGCTTCTTAAACTTAGTGACCCATGAGAATCACCGGGTGGTTTCTCCATGTCATAAATCTAACCCACCCAGCCCCACGCAAGAGTCCCCCATGCAGTAGGTCTGCGAGGGGCCCAGTACTTACCACTGACCACGGATCCTCGGGGCACACGGATGCTCCTGCTTCAGAGGCCACATTCATCATGAATCTAGGGAGATATTTAACTGTCATCTCTATCACAGTATTTGTAGATGTTAAACAGCCAAATCCAATCAAGTAAAGAACATTGTTGTTCTGCATGAACTTATACTATTTTTTTAATTAATTGTGTGGTCTGCATTTCCTAAAGAACTCAAGGACAAAATTAGGGAGACGAGATGTGCGTCTGCCGTCCAGCAAGCCCACCCTGACCGTGGCGGGCCTGTCTCGAACGGGACATGCATTTTGACATCCAATCACCATGAAGCGTTGGTTTAGAAAACCTGGTGCGGGCCTAAGTGCCCCCCGGGTGGCAGGCCCAGCGGCTTGGGGCTTACTTCAGTGCGTGGCCAGGGAGACGGTCTGGTGACCCCCTGCTTTTTGGTGGAATCTGCCCAAGACCCTGGTACTGGCTGGAAGTGAATGGCTGCAGCCCAAGCCTGCTCGGCGAACCCCAAGCAGAGCGGCGCTTCCCCAGGCTGCTAGAACAGGTAGCCTGGCTTATTCTGTTCCTGGCGGCCTGTAAAGGTGAATGCGTGTAGCAGGAGTCAGTCAAAACCTTGTTCTGGTGCATCGCATCACAAAGTAGTGACGTTAGGAAGTAGGGAGCGTCCTTGTCCCTCAACTGCTAGAGGCCAGAGAAGACAGGCAAGTTGCCCAAGTCTTTTGGGGGTGGGGCAGCTGAAAGTTCTAGAATCTAGATGCACCCCCTTGACCGGTGCATAGGCTATTATATCTATTTGGTAAAAAAGAAATGTGTTCGAGATTCAGATACTTTTTGTAGCAAGATAAAAGAAACAGCCAAGCAATAAAAGTCATTTTCAAATGGATTCCGCCTTGGCTTGGGTTATAAAGGGCAGCCCCGTGAATGGGACAAGGGTCCTTATAAGAGACCCAGAGAGCCCCCTGCCCTTCCACCATGGAGGACCCAGGAGAAGACACCATCTCTGAGCCAGGAAGCAGCCCTCAGCAGACCCTGTGTCCGCCACACCTGGACCTCGGGCTTCAGTCTGAACAAGCTACCAAGGTGGAGGTGACTCTGTGACTTTGGGAAACCCCTTCGACTCCGTGCTCCTGTCTGTCAAGACTGCCCGTGCCAGGGGAGGGACCTGGGGCAGGAAAAGACGAGACGGACACCATCACCCTAGGTACACGTGTGACTGCACGTGTGGTGTGACACTATGTCACGCCCAGCCAGAGAAATGAAACGTGTCCCATGTGTGCTTAGTGACTTGAAACGCATTCTGCTGTCACGAATGACTGATTAGACAAACAGAAATAAAATAAGTAAGAATTGAAAAGGAAACAAAAACACTGACATTGCCAAATAGAGATGTTTTGCACTCTTTCTTTTTACAGCACAGTTTGAATGACCAGCAGAGGTTGGACCACCAATCTGCTGCACAGACTGGACACTGTGCCCGACTTGAGCAATTTCTATTAACGTACGAACCTTGTCCCTGGGATTCATATCCTCCCAATTTTAAGTAGATATTTCTAAACATTATTAAGTATTTCAATGCACGTTAGCAGACAGAGGATTTACATTTATTGATGGAGGAACAAAATCTAGAAGAAATGTTATAACCAGTCAAGAAGAAAAAAAAAAATCTTGTTCTGAAAGAGGTAAATTATGAATAATTGTAATTTTACCTAAAACAAACCATCCCTCCCCACAAAGAAACTCACTTCAATATTGGTTTTGTCTCCTGCCTTGAAAAGATTTTGAAAATAACTCAAGATAGACCAAACGACATTTTCCTAAAATAAGAAGCAATTATTCCGAGGAATAATTGAGAATAATGAGAGGCTTTTCTCCAACAAGCAAAGGAAATGGGAAGACTTTTGTGCTCATGTAGACATCGGAGGTAATAAAATCCTGGTGCTCCCAGGCCCTAGATGGATCTAACAACCCATTCTTTGTCAAGTCATGGGCTTTCCAACTTAGTAGCTGATTTCCAGGTTCAAGAGATGAGTCCTCTCTACAGAGAACACGGTGCAGTCGTCATTAAAGCAATACGCTCTTCTGTCTTAGGAACAAAACAGAAGGCCCCCGAAGGATGCTCCGGAGAGAGGCACGTTTTACCAAGCCGGCTCTCAAGGGGTTCTTCCCTAGCTGTAGCTTTAAAATCTAAGAAAGCGGGGAAGGTTCAATGAGGGAGCCAGACTCTGTGCATTGATTTTCCAGATGTAAGCAGTTGAAGATCTGTAAGCCATTTAAAAGATGTGTTAAGAGCCGGTCGCGGTGGCCCGTACCTGTCATCCCAGTGGCTCGGGAGGCTGAGGCAGGAGGATCATGAGTTCAAAGCCAGCCTCAGCCAAATTGAGGCCGTAAGCAACTCACTTGGACCCTGTCTCTAAATAAAATACAAAAAAAGGGTTGGGGATGTGGCTCAGGGGTGAGTTCAATCCCTGGTATAAAATAAAAGTGTGTTGAAGATTGGGAGAGGTTGGGGGTCCTTGTCTCTTGGAACTGCAGACACAGCTGAGATCTTTGCATGCATCAGCTCCTGTGATCTGCACTTACTTCTTGCCCGTGCATTCAATGGCACCTGGACCTGGAGAATAGAATGAATTGATGTTGCTTCCAGCAAAGATGTGTTAATGTGTGGGTGTGTTTTAGGTGTGGGGAGAGAGGGATCCTGTAGGCATCTGGTGGGTAGACCTCAGGGAAGCTGCTAACCTCTGCAGTGCACGTCGCTACCCCACGGCGGGGAATCATCCAGCCCCAGAGTCAGTAGGGCAGAGGCTGAGAAGCCCTGGGCTGGGTTTCCACCTTCGGAATCTTGGCATGTCCCTTGGCAGAGGCTCACTGCAGCTGCGACGTGAGACCCGGGTTTCCAGGAAAGAGTCCTGAGTGAGCCCCACCTCCCTGTTGGCCAGCGTCTCCTGGCCACGCGTCTGGCCGGCCAGCGGGCTTCACGGTAACTTGGGTGTGATGTCAGGCCAACTCTGCCCCATCTGTCTGCGACAGGGACCCACCTTAGCGGAGCCCGGCTCTGCACACGCTGCCTGGCCAGACGGTGTGTGGTACAGCTGTGTTGGCCCTCGGTTTGGATTGCAAACACTGGCCAAGGATGGGAGGCACTCAGGTGGGTGGGAAACGAAGTGGGATCCGAAGACACACCCTAAACATTTTGCAATGCCCAGGACTGACCCCCGAGAATCACCCATTCCAAAAGATCTGTAGCGAATCCTTAAAATGCTTTAAGTTCTCAAAACTCAGATTTTATGTGGTACCAGCATCCCTTTCTGCATAGGAGCTGGACTTTCTCTGCATAGGAGCTGGACTTTCTCCGCCCAGAAGCAGGGCACAGTGACCCTTGATCAAGTAGCTGCCTCTCCACGTGCTCCCAGTTCCTCAGTGTGGTTGGTCCAGATGGCCGCCATATGCAATCTCCTCCTGGTGGCTTCCTCCTTATTATTTTTCTGTGGATGGCTGTTAGATTAGTCCAAGCCTCCAGTTTGGCTGGAAAAAAAAAAACCACCCCCAAATTGGGTCTCAGACTGAGATGGCCTTGGCTATTTATTTAGTGTGTGATGAAGTCTGGTTATATCCGAGGTCTTTTCCTCTGCCGGAGGGTCTCAACAGATGTGCGTTCCGTAGACTATGGGAGACATTTTTTTTTCCAGTGGCCAGCGCTCTCGGTGCAAAGGGATGAATGTCCCTGGGTCCACTTTAATAAAAGCTCATTCGTAATAATTCAGTGGCATTAGGCACTCACAGGTAACTCCCCGGACACTGGAGATGGTGACTGCAGTGTCAACCAGCACCTTCTGCAGACCGAGACGTCAAATTCGGAGGCTTGTGTTCCTGGCTCTCAGGAAGCGCACCCTGATCCGTTCAATGTTGCTTTATCCATTGTGGCTGGTTTCAGTATTTTTTTAAAAAAATTATCTGATTCTACCTCAACTGTTTTTTTTTTTTTTTTGGCTTAAAATATGATCCAGAATCTTCCAATCACACATCATTTCTGTTATTCCCGCTGCCATCAGAATCGAGGAAACATTTACAGAATTGCACTTTAACACATCAGCACAGAATACTATTGCTTTGTAAAACACATTCCACGGTATTATTTCCTAGCATGCTCAGGAAGAAAAAAAAAATATTAGCTGGCTAATAGCTAAACCACAAACACGTAGATCATGCAGGCTGGAAAGAGGATATGTCGGGTGTTTTCCCCGGAGTTAGATTTGCTTGCAGCCTCTGGGATCATCAGTGGGAAGTGTCACACCCCTTCAAGCATGAGCCAAAGAGAGCTATAGGGGAGACACAGCTGCCGTCCCAAGTTCATGGAAGAGCTCTTCCCATAGGCCGGCCCGGGGTGTGCCCCGTGAATGTGTACCGCACCCATCAGTTAGAAATCAAAACAGGTTTTAAAAAGCAAGATGAGTGGTGAGGCTCCTAGTCTGGCAAAACCACTTTCCCTGAATAGAAAAAGCCTTCCAGATACAGTGTGATAACTCCGGGTGACTTTGTTCCAAAACAAGGGGACAAGCGCTCTTTTATCTTAAATCTGCCTCAGGCCACTTCGCAAGGAGACCTTCTGTTTCCTGAGAAGCCAAAACGTTTGATTCACTAATTGTAAACTGCAATACATATTTGAGTCTGTCTGCAGGTGCGGTGAGAAGGGAGCTGGGATCCGGGGGCCTCTCTGATTGATGTTTATAAAGCAAAAAAAAAAAAAAAAGATGTTTTCACACTGTGCTGCTTGGGTTTCTCTGTCTGTTCTTGACTCCTTCTAATTGAAAGAGTTTCTTTGTTTTGAAAGTTTGATGCCTTCCTTAAGACCAGGCTACTGGTCTTATCAGACTGTGTCGTTTATATCTATAGGACGCTTGACGATGATGTTATTTAACTAGAAAAATAGATGCACATATAGATGCAGACATAAACACTGACATGGGCGTAGTTACACAAAAAATCATTCACACTTGATTGTCCGGCTTTATGGAAGAAAATGTGTGTGTAGTTCACCTCACTTGTCTCTCCAAATCCCTTCCCTGTTTTAGCCCCCAGGCAACTCTGTGCTAGATTTCAAGGAGGAGAGACAGGAGGCTTCAGAGAACAGCCAAAAGTATGGGACAAGGTTGTATCCACATCTTGTGTGCTGTGGTACTTCAATAAAGTTTCTTAACCTCTCTGTTCATTGATTTTTTTTTTTTAACTTGCAAAATGGGAGCGGAGACTGTTCCCCTTTCATATGAGAATGGTGTGAAAGTTAAACACACAGCATGAAATTTAGTGGAACACTTTGTGACCCTACACGCTATAGAAGTGTTGCTATGACTGTTATCATTGATACTCAATCAATTAGTCATTGATACTAAATCAATCTCCTAAAATATGAATCACTGTCCCCAAGGCCACAACAACATATTTGTCATTTAAATGCAGGTCTGACACCATGGCTCTTTCCTAAGGACAGCTTTGCTGACGGGAGTTTGGATCTGATATCCTGAATTAATTTTCTCAACTTTGTGGCGCTTGGATTTCATGAAGTAGGACGTATTCTTCTTTGGTCTCCTTTTCCTTATTGGTGGACTCTGACACAGACCTTTCCTCAGTACAATTCCTGTGATCCTCAAAGGTAGGATAAGTATCCAATAATTTTAAAGCATTTAAAAATTATGGCAAGTTGAAAGGCTTCAGGGTACTGTGATTTCCCATAATATCAAACCAACTCCTAAACTCTGGCCACGTGATATTTGATGTATTCCTGGCAAACATGATCCTCTACCCCAAAGAAAGAAGATGTGGCCGGGTGTGGTGGTGCACATGTGTAATCCCAGCAGCTGAGGAGGCTGAGGCAGGAGGATTGCAAGTTTGAGGCCAGTCTCAGCAACTTAGGGAGGCCCTAAGCAACTTAGCAAGATCGTGTCTCAAAAGAAAAAGTAAAAAGTGCTGAGGATGTTGCTCAGTGGTTAAGCACCCCTACATTCAATCTCCAGTACTGAAAAAAGAGAAAGAAAGAATTGGTCTTTTGGTCTTGTAAAGGAGAATATTTGATGGGTGGAGTAACAGAATGAATGATGGCTGTATGATTTAAACTTTCTGAAAGTCCCCTAGAATTTAAAATAAAAGGAATTTTGACTTTAGCACCACACATCCTGGAGTTGGCTGGAGCTAAATATATTTCAATGATGGTTTTACATTTAAAACCTTCCACAGGCCTTAAAGCCATGTCTTATTTTATGCAGAGTTTTCTATCCTTGCATCAGAAAAGACAATTAACATGTGGACATTCGTGAGAGTAAATGAGAGGCTTTATGTGAAGATGAACCATGGAATCTACTTAATGGTCTTACATATACAGTGGAATACTATTTAGCCTTTAAAAAGGTCTTGTCTCATGGTTATAACTGTGTTTGTCTTTCCACATAAAGTTGAGAATCATGTTTTCCACGTGTACCATCTCGGGCAATCTTACCTTTGGGTAGCCTTGGCACGTGGAGTTTAAATATTTAAAAACATCAATCCACCTATATCTTTTGCTTCTGCTTTACCAAAATTAGAAAATGCGTCCTTTCAAAATGGATTTGCGCTCTTGTATCTTTTCTGCTTGTAAAAGCTTGAGAAGATGCAAACCACAAACACCTAGAAACACAGAGTTTCACCAAGAGAAATGTCAAGAAAACATCTCCCCGGCCTCTGCCTGCCAGTGTTCCCTCCACCTGTCATTAACCCCCAGCGTGAATCACTTTTCCAAGGAAGTAACTCCATCCCCAGGGCTTGCATAAAGTGAGGAGCCCGCCCCTCTAACTGGATCCCCGTTTGCACGGTCGAACCTTTTGAAAGGAGTCAGTGACGGCGACAGATGAAAAAGTCGCCTTTTCCCTTCCATGACTGGGCTGTGGCGATGAATCCCTCCATTGTCCTGCTGGACTTGAAACGGCGGCAGGGTCCCTCTGGACCTTTGAAGTCGGCCTAGTCTTTGGCACCATGGGCAGAGGAGCCACTGGGAAAGTGAACCAGGTCCTGCGGACACAAGTGCAGGAGGCGAGATCCTGGGGCTCTCCGTCTGTCCTTCGATGGGCCTCTTGCAGGTGCCCTTGGCTAAGCAGCCCGCAGGCAAAGGCCGCCCACCTTTGCGTGTTCTGTGCTCCTCGTGGAACCGCGAGCTTCTTGCATCAGTATAAAGGATGCCTGTGAGGACATTTAACTAATACAGAGGGACGTCCCTGCTCCATAGGGTCCCCTGGCTGATTTCCAAAGCTACCCTGCTGGAAGGGGTGTCCACCAAGCCAATCGTGTGCAAATAAGTTACACACCTCTTTAGCCAAAATATCCTGCGCTGTCAAATTTTGACAACGAAGCGCTGTGCATATTTCCTAATGTCACAGAAACTTTTTTTTTTTTTATTTTGGTGCCAAGTATTGAACCCGGGGTGCTTAACCACAGAGCCACTACCCTTTATTTTTATTATTTTTATTTTATTTTAAGGCAGGGTCTCTTTAAGTTGTCACGGCCTCCCTAAGTTGCTGAGCCTGGCCTCCAACTCACAATCTTCCTGCCTCAGCCTCCCCAGCCCCTGGGATTACAGGCAGGTGCTACCCCCTCTGGTGCAATCCAGTTTGTTGATCGACTTAATGTTAGAGTTCAACTGCTTGCGTTTTTCCATTTTCACTTTGGTGCCAATGCTTCTCTTTGACTTATCAAATCTTACACATTTTTTTTCTAAATAAATACTATTGTGTACATTTAGGATCTACAACCTGATATGGGGGAAGACAGACACACAGTTAAAAGCTTACTCTGGTGAAGCAATATAACATATGTAGCATCTCTCCATCATGCAACTGTCGTTGTTGTTTTTGTAGCAAGAGCAACTTTGATCTGGGCAGTTTCCAAGAGTCACAGGGGCAGTGCCAACCTGTGAACCAGTGGCTAAGCAGAGGTCCACCTGTGTTTCTTCTACGCATCTTCTACTTTATAGTAGAACATTCCAGTCTGTTATTGATTCTAGTATGGGGGGGGCATTCCTTTTCCTGAAGTGCTTGAGGGAGCTCGTAACGTGTTTCAAAACAAGACATCAGGCATCTCCATTTCATTTGGGGTTCTCCATTCGGCTGGATGGATGTTCAGTAAGATAAAGTCTGTTTCTAAAGTAAAGGGGTGCTTTTACACTGGGGGCCGGGGAACTCTTTCTGTAATCTAAGAAATGGTTAGAGGTCCATAGCCACCTTGTCTCTGTCACAATGGTGCCACCTGCATTTCCGGCAGGAAAGTAGCAGAAGCGATACAGGGGAAGGAGTGGACAAGCCCGTGTTCCAATAAAACTTTATCAGACAGCAGTTTCCAAGCCTCGGTTGACACCCATGGAGGCTCATGGATGCCCATGTGCGTTTCGCCATCCTGTCCCCTGAGAGTGGAGATTGTGATCACGACCCCTGAGGATGTGAGAGCAGGGTTTAGCCGTGTGTTTGTCTGGTCCTTTATCATGATTCACCTTTCATCCAACCAAAGCCTAGAGGATTGGATACAGCGTTTACATAAGGTCAGAAAAATCGACGCCGATCACGCTTCACTTTTGATTGGGAATTTTTTTTTTGTAAATTTCGACACATCTTACTCTATCGATTTCTCGAAATAAAGGGCTAAAAATATCACCAGTCTCCCTTTATAAATATCTCCCAGAGTCTGACATAGTTGGATCTCTGCCACAGGCTGGATTGTAGATCCCCCCCAAATCCACAGGTTGGAATCCTAAGCACTGGTACCCAAGAGCATGATTTTTATTTGAGATGGAGCTTTTATAGCCATAATCCCAGAGGAGCGGGGTTGCTGTAGGAAGAGGAGATGAGGACCCAAAATGCACGTGCCTTAGCTCATGGCCCCGTGGCTGGTAAACTAGGTCTGTGTGCTGGGTGGCGCTGTCAGAGCGGCTTATATTTGCCTATGAGTAAGTTGGAGCACAGGGGCTGCAGTACCTTGCTTTGGTGCACATGCTCTGCACCCGTGGAATTATGTTGTGATATGCAGATCCTCATGAGGTCCAGGCATCCTCCAAGAAGCCCTCGATGGCTTCAAAGCTCTGACACAAAGCACCTGTCACCATGTCACATTACACCAACATTTAATGTCACCCACCATAAAGTGTCAGATGACGTGAGTTGAGAGGGCTTTCTGAACAGAACCCGTATCCAGTGGCGCTGGTCCCCAGGAGTCCACTTCCCAACACGTAGGTATTGCAGTCCCCCGTGGCAACACCAAGAAAGGGTGCAACGTGGTGGTCTTACCTGGGACTTCAAAGCCTGCTCCCGGCCAAACCCCGCCTCCCCAAGATCTGGCCTCCTGCGCTGAGCAGGAGCCCACATGTGGGTCGCACCTTCCAATGTTTATTTCTTTTCCATCCTCTTTGTGGCAGAACTAGAAAGGCTGTGGGGAACGGGGAATGCCAAAATACACACGCTGTGTGCCTGCCAGACAGAGGAGGTAGTGGCGGGGGATTCGCAGCAGGAATTCCCAGTGCGAATGAGCCACGGCTCGCAGTTTCCAGTGTCCCTGGTTAGAATGAAGAGAGCGCAGCAATCTCACAGCTGAGAAGCTGGCCAACAGAAGAGTGGGCCAACAGAAGATGCCATTTACGATGTTTCTTCAGCTGGAATAAATATTAGTCATATTCTCTCATTCTAAAATGATGCACCGTTTTATAATTAAAACACAAGTATGAGAATCAGTTTAACATTTTTTTAACTCGGGAAGTTTGGGTTAATTTTAAAAGATTTTTTTTTAATAAAGGAGATGAGTCAATATCTTGCTTTTTTAAAAAATTGAGCTGAACTATATTTCTCATAAAATATGTTAGTTTTCTGTTACTATGACAAATAGTACCTTTGTGTTAGCTTTCTGTTGCTATAACAAATACAAGAGACGATCAACTTATAAAGACAAAAGGTTTATTTTGCCTCAAATTTTTGAATTTTTAAATTTTTTTTAAAATTGTAGACTAACACAATACCTTTATTTTATGTATTTATTTTTAGGTGGTGCTGAGGATTAAGCCCAGTGCCTCACACATGCTAGGCAACTCCCTACCACTGAGCTACAACCCTAGCCCTTGCCTCAAAGTTTTAGAGGTTTCAATCCATGATTATTTGACCCTTTTCCTCTCTTTTTCAAGATTTGGCAACTCTAGATGTTGCGCCCACAAGGAGCGATACCACCCTCTTGGACCCTCTGGGCCTGACTTCTAAAGAAAAGCAAGTCCATATTAAAATAGTTAAGACTCTAGTATTAGAAAACTTGAATATTCCAAACCCATCAATTTTTCAGAGCAAAGCTGAATTCATTTTAGATCCTAATGAGACAGATATTCAGTAAGACATTAGTCATTAACACCGCTATTCTCCCCTGGGGTCTCATTATTTTCCTATGCCCCCGGGCATAGGAATGTTACAGCAGGATGTGCACTCGCTCAGAGGGACTCTTTTTTTTTTTAAATACCTATTTTGTGTAACTAGTTGAGGTTCTTGTCTCTGCAAAGTCGAGGATTTAATGTTTTGCTCCTGTTGAGCACAACATCCTGGTCTCTGGGGAGAAAGTTCTGAAGGAGGTGTTTTTGAATGAGGGAAGTCTCTGATCACTTGTGTTCCTTCACAGAAGAGTGTGGAAGGAGACCCTAAGTGTATGGAGTTTCCAAAATGACAGATGCTTCTTGCCCCTGTTCTGGGATAAATGTAAAATTAATAGGAACTGGTGTCTGCAGACTCATCCCACTGTACAGCTGTCGGATCGGATCCCTGTCCAGTGCTCATCAGCCTAAGACAGGATGACCGCTCTCAGTTCGTTGAATGGCCGACCAGCCCAGAGCAGCTTCTCAGACACAGAGAATTTTCCAGATGTTGGATAGGGGAAGCTAAGGGATATCACATCGGAGGTATTTTGAAATCCGTCCACTGTAACTCAGAGTATTCTTCCAGCCCGTCTCCTTTGGTCCAACTGGAACAGCCACCCCAACAGCCAACTACTGGAATCTGGCTCCTAAAACTTTCCTGGTCCCACTGTCCTCGAGCCCTGTTCAGCGCCTCTGAGCATCTTTCTGAGCTGTGAGTCAGATTAGATGACCCCCCCCCACACACACACACACTGGTTCCATCCCCAAAGTAGAGATGTGTCAAAATTTTTATGCCAAGGAGAAGAAACCAGATATTAAAAAAGAATCGCCAGGCACGGTGGCTCACACCTGTAATCCCAGCGGCTCAGGAGGCTGAGGCAGGAGGATCGTGAGTTCAAAGCCAGCCTCAGCCAAAGTGACGCGCTAAGCAACTCAGTGAGACCCCGTCTCTGAATAAAATATAAAATAGGGCTGGGGATGGAGCTCAGTGGTCGAGCGCCCTGAGTTCCATCCCTGGTACCAAAAAAAAAAAATTGCTACTATATGATTCCATTTATCTTAAGTTCGAATAATAAGACTCGTGCAATGCCAAAGTCGCTCTCTGGTTTCTGCTTGTGTGCTTTACCAAGAATGGTGTTCCCTGGGCCTCGTGTAGTGACTTCAGTTTTCCGTTCAATACAGTTTCTGAGACGTGTGGATGGAATTCACTTTCGCTCATGCATTTTGCTTCTGGCTTAACACGTCCCTGAGTAAAGTAGTTGAGATGTGGTCAGCAGAAGAGGTAGCCCCTGTTCATGGCTCCCCACCTCCTGTGCTCACGGCTGAGATCAGCCGTGGGACAACATTGGCTTCTAAACAGCCCTCGGGGTCAACTGTGCTCTGCCACCTGTTTTACAAATAAGGTTTTATTGGAAAATAGCCACACTCCGTTCTTGCCTGTTGTCTGAGGCTGTTGCGGGCCACAGTGGCCGGGTGGGGTGGCCACAATAGAGACCCCGTGGCATGCAAACCCTAAACCATTTATTATCTAGAACGCCACAGGATGTTAGCTGGGAAAAACACATGCGTGACAAAATCCCCAAACTGAAGGTATTAGAAACATGCACTCGGATGCCTAGAGTCGGGAACTCTCCACCTTTGTAAAGGTGGAAAAGGGATTTAGCTCAGCCAATAGACTTCTCTTCTTTCCTTGAACCTTTTAAAGCCATGTAACCAAAGTCATCCTTAAAATACCCCTCTCCCCCTTTTCTTCCTTGCAAAACCACCTCCCACCCGCCCTCGCTCAGGCCCTACGAGAGGCATTCTCTGAGAAAGTAGGCAGTTGGCATTTTGCCACAATAAAATCCCAAGAGAATCGGAAACACCCACTGTGCATTTCTATACAGATCAGAAATCCACAGCCCAGTGTCTCTTGAGAGATATTTAAGAGCCACATGTTTGCATTCAGAACTCTCCTCCTCAGACATCACCCGAGGGGGGTCCCCTGGGGAGCCAATATTATTCTGGGAAACAAACAAACACAAGCAGACCTGCAAACAGCCCAGGCTCTTGTCGGAAAGTGCACTGGGTCTGTCTTGCTCAGCCAGGTCCAGGATGCAAAAATGTGTATCTTGATTAAACTGAATCTCCACCCGGAGATTGGAGTCAGCCAACGTGATCTGCAAGTTCTGAGAAGTGTGTAGCGCGTGAGTCAGGCAGCCGGCGGTGTGGGCTGGGCTGAAAGGAAATCCAGATGAAGAGGCCAAGATCATCCGGGTTGTGTGCCAAGAGGACACGGAAGAATGTGTCCGAGTTTCTCAGATCTCCCGATAACCCCAGGCGGGGGCCGGCAGAGCCGAGCCCGGAACCGAGAACGTTATCAAAGACACACAGAGGCGAAAACAGGTTCTCGGTGGCCGGCTGCCACCTTGGATCCCAAACACAAGGATGGTAGGGACCGCGGACATTCTCCAATTACAGCCTCCGTTGTGTTTTTATTAAGCAGCTTCTGCCAGAGGATCCAGGCCCTTCATTTGGCACACCCGTGTGCAATGAGGAAGGCTTGTGCAGGGCTAGATCGGCTGTGAGTTCTGGGCACAGCCCCTCCCTGGCAGGGACTGGGTTCAAACAAGGAAGATTTATTTACGTGGACCTAGGAAGCCACAGGACCTACCTTCAATTAAGGCATAACCTAAGCAGAGTCCAGTATGAGATGGACCCCAGCCTCAAGGCCATGATCCATTCTGTTCTTCCAATGGAATTTTCCCCCTAGCAGTTTGGATGACTGGATCAGCACAGTTCTGGTGATGTCTCAAAGCCTAATTCTGCCTCTCGTGGTTTCTGTTCTTGCATTAATGATTATTTCATGCCTGTGCGGATTTTCCTACTGGGTATTTGCTCTTTCTCTTCCTCTCCTCTTTGGCGACAGATGGACCCCACCTCTCCCTCCGCAGCAGCAGGCCAACACAGACGCAGAAGGATGCGTGGCTGTGTTTACCTTTAGCTCCGCAAACCTGGGAGAGCAGGAAGTAGGAGGAGGAGCAGACTGTTCTTGAGTGCAGTTCACACCGTTCACCCCCAGCAGGCCGTGAACAGGACCCGTTTTGAGGATGAGACAGGCAGAAGGGGTGTTGTTAATGCTGGGCGTTACGTGCGCTTCTCTGGTAAGATGTGGTTTTGTGTTGGGGCTCCCAAGTCTGCAGTGGGGATTTTGGCCGTCACCTCTCCTTGGGAAAGAACACCACCACAAAGGCGCTCTCTGTGAGTAGGAGCCCGTGAATCTGTCAGCTGTGGGTGAGGCCACCATGTACTCCCTGCTGAAGTCTCCCCACCTTTGCTATGTGAGGGATTGCATCTTGAGACTACGCCAACATAGGAGATGTCTCTGGCCTACTTTATCCCTCTAACACTCTCAGGAAGTTTCCTGGTGGGTAGGAAAATGCAATCCAGCGTACGTGGTCCTTTGGGTTAGCAGAACCCATCCCAGCCCCTTCCTGTGTCCGTCTCCGTTTCCTGGCTCATGATATTAAGGATCTTGTTCTGCCGCATGCATCCACCAAGATGTAGTGCCTCATCAGAAGCCCAAAGCTGTGGGTCCGCTCGATTATGGATTGGAACCTTCAGAACTGTGAACCCTATAACATTTGGTCTCTACAAGTTAACTTATCTCAGGCATTTTGTTATAGTGACGGGAAGCTGACTAATACATAGGGCTTGCCCCTTCCAATTTGGAGCTTTGAAATAAAATAAAATCATATACTTGAGGAATCTCTTCCACTATATTCTGAATAACATTTGCCCACAGTTATCAACAAATTTATTTACATTTACTTTTCTTTTTTTCTTTTTGATAATTTCAAAGTCCAAAATTGGACCATGATGTAATTTTACAGCAGGGAGACGAGGATCCCAATCAGAAGTGCTTAGGATATGGAGGTGTGGGGATTCATCACGGACAGCTCACACCCCACCTTCCAATGAACCTTCTCAGTATTCTCCACAAGAAACGATGACTGGTTAATTGGAAAGAATTTCAGAGTCTAAAAATACTTCTCCCATCTTAAAAGAATTCCATGCTGAGTGCCAGTGATAAGTATGCTCCCTGAGAGTTTGAGCAAACTTGGCCACATGGAAATCTTGGGACTTCAGTCAAAACGGTGCGTTTTAGAAACTAAAATTTATTAACAAGTGTGAATATTTCAGAGACGTGCATTAAAGTGAACTCACGAATCTTATGGAGGAAGGACTGAGCATGCAATAGGATCGCATTGAAGTAGTACACGCACATTCTCAGAAAACACACGCACGAGGGGCCATGCGAAACTGGGGAAATACAAATAAGGTTGGTGGCCATCGGTTTCCTCGTTGTGACCTTTTCTGCCCCAAAGTCACTCTTGCAGGAAACTGGGTGAAGTTTATGTGGGATCTCTCTGCATTATTTCTTGCATTAGCATGTGGAATTGCAGTCACCTCAAAAAATAGATAAATATAATGTATATATTTATTAATAAATTAACATTTATCATATGCAAATATGTCTTTTTTTTCTCTTAAGGAACTATGTGGAGAAAAGGAGAAACATGGCAGAGAACGTCACAGTCCAGAAAGCATTGGTAATATTCCACAGTGGCCGGCAGAGAAGGTAGGTGATCAACTTAGAAGCAAAAGAATATATTGTATATACATTGTATAAGGTTGAAAGAAGGTTGACGAATTCTATGTATCACTACGGAGAGAGCGAGAAGGAGATCAATTAACAAGCAAGTGGTTATGACAATGAAGGTCATGTCTGCAGGATTTTCCCTCCTTGATATAAACATTGGAAAAACCACAAATATGGTGCCCGTGGCCAGTGGGTGGAATGGAAGCCCATAACATCTGTCCTGGCTGCTAGGGCCACCATTAAAGTGGAATCCAAAGTCTCCCGTGTAGCTTTCTTTTGATCTGTGAATAGTGACATATGGTTTCTCAACTTATCAAACTAGATTTAAAGATAGTTGTGTCACCTCTTTGGAAAAACCACCTCTTGGGCCCCAATGCTAATCAGGCCTTATTTTAAATCATGAAGAACAGGGAGAAATGAAAAAGGAACAGTCACCCTCGCCAGGCTGACTACTTTTTCTTCCATGAAATTTCGGAGGCTGGGGTCCCTGTCTTGTCTTTTTCAATGGGGTGCTTTGGAGATGCAGCTGTGTTAGTGCTCATGTGCATTGGGCCGGCTGGTTGTGGCCAGTATTCATGTGCTCCATTCTATGAGCATGCCACGCGTTTCCCTATTGTCCTCTGAATGGATATCGACATTGCGGTTCAACTCCTAAGTCTACGCCAAGGAAAAATGAGTGAATGTGAACAGGAAAAGACTAGTGCAATAATGCACTAGTCTTTTATTTTATTTAATAAAATAAATCTGAGGACCTTGGGGGGGTAAGGTGGATAGTAAGAAGCAATCTCAGGGAAGAGCAAGAGAGAGACATTGCTGCAGGGTGAGGTAGAAATTGGGAGCAGAGGTCCAAGAGGCAGGGTCCACGTTGGAAAGTATTTTGTGTCCTGCAGCCTCAATTCAAATGCTAGGTGTTTTTATTGTCCCCTCTTTTACTCTGTGCTGCTAAGATGACGTATCACATATCCCTGGTCTCGGGAGGATCGGGTTTTGCCGATGCAGGTGGGCTGAGGAGGATGAGAACAGGCTGGGTCTAGGTTTCTCTTAGCTAAATTATAGCCCCGTCTAAATGCCTGAGCCTCAGAATTCGTCTTCCTGACCTCGATTTCCACAGCCCTGGCACACGGACAGCCGAGAGTCGATAAAGTGCTAGAAGAAGTGCCTCTGGTAGAATTGTTGGAATAGACCTCACGACACCTGCATTCTCCACTGTGCGCTGTTATTAGTGACGGAGTCAGCCCAAATATATCCTCAGGCCTTAGTGGCGTAGCACTTGTGACCATGAAATAGTGGCATGTGCTTACAGGGCTCTCAGATTCTCTCAGCTCCCAAACCTACCAATCGTTTGAAGTCTTCTTGATTCATCCACGAGTGCCTTGATATCTCCTTTAATTTCTTTATTTAGTCTGCTGTCTCTTGAAAACCATCCTCGGGACAAACGTAGCTGTAGACACGGCTCTGGCCTTTGATGTACCAAGGCTCTACTTACGATTTTTAAAGTACCTGATGGTTCAGAAGTAGTCCTCCTCCTTGGGGCTGGGGATGTGGCTCAAGCGGTAGCGCGCTCGCCTGGCGTGCGTGCGGCCCGGGTTCGATCCTCAGCACCACATACAAACAAAGATGTTGTGTCCGCCGAGAACTAAAAAATAAATATTAAAATTCTCTCTCTCTCTCTCTCTCTCTCTCTCAAAAAATGATTAGATGTTGAGTGTAACCTGATGAATGGATTAATCCACTTGAACGGATCAACTGAGTGGTAACTGTAGGCAGGTAGGGTGTGGCCGAGGGAGGTGGGCACTGAGGGTATGCCTTTGGATTTTATTTTCTGTCCCCGGTGAACAGAACTTAGTGTCTCTCTGCTTCCTTGTTCTCATGTCCTGAGTGGGTTTTTTTTCCGCTGTGTCCTGTCTATGAACCACCTTTCTGTCTGGGTCTGTATATCTTTCCGTGTATCTAGTAGAGACAGGTAGAGATGCTACCCTGAAATCCACAAGGCAAGCCCCCGGAAGGGCAGGAGGAGCTCACCACTCAGCCTGAAGCTGGCTTCCTGAGGCATAGATTTCTCCTCCTCCTTCATGTTTCCAAGTATCACTTCTGCGTTTCAATGCCTTTCAACCCTCCGGCCATCTGGGACAACCAACTGATGGTGGCCTCCACTTTCACGTCTTCCTGACAGCACCCACGCTGCTGTCTGAATAGCTGAATGCCGTAGCCCAGCCAAGCTGGCTCATTAGAAATGCCAGCGCTCTCCTGTGTGCCTAGAGGGATGGTCGGTCTGCTGGCCAGGCTTGTGCACCCCATTCCTGTGGACACATCCCTAAATGCCCAGTGCCCGCGGGAAGGGGGCATGCGCTGAGAGTGCGCCCCAGTGGGGGGTACCCAGGGTGTTGTCTGGGGATTTCATGGAGCTGTGTGCGTAAGGCACCTTTCACCTCTGCCAATCACCAGTTCCCTAGGAGAACAGGTCCTCCTCCTCTTAAAAATCCCTGCAGCAGAATCTCCTGGGGACACTGTTGGACGTGTGCTGGGAGCCATTAGCCAAGTAGGTATGACAATTTCCTTGCCAGCGTACCCCATGTTGCAGTGACATTGAATGTAGGTGACCTTGCTCAAGGACCAAGGCGGATTAGGGCGTTCCCGGTTTAGGTTCCAGGTTTAAGGTTTAAGATTATTCCTGCTGGGAATAGGGCGTATCCTGCTGCCTGAGTTCCCCTTGAGTTCTCACGGGATTCAGACAGTATATTTTGGAGATAGAAGCCCAGTGGAGGTGGATTTGGGCAGAGAACGTGGATTTCCCCAGAACGTGATTGTAGACGGCTGGTGTGAGTTCGGGAATAAAGAGTTGCTGTTTGAATCTACAAGCTGTGTGGTGGCTCGTGATTGTATGTCCGGATGTCCTTTCCTTCCCAGTTCTGCGTTAGTAGGTCTGTCTTAGGAGGAACCAATCACTTACATCTTTACCTACCATTAAAATAACACCGAGAAATCATAGTAAAAGAGGACTTCAAAGCAATTGAAAATACATTTACAAGTCAACATTATAATCATAGCAAAATATGGGACAATTTTAGGATTACAATGAAAAACATCTCTGTTCTAAAAAAATATAATGACTTGCTTCTATTGCCTTTTAAAATGAATAAGGTGCAACTAGGCAGTTTCTAACTATTCTAAAATGCACTTAGAAAACTCAGTAAAGGAAACATTAGAGTGTGGAGCCCTCCTGGGGTATTGAACAGTCTCACTGATAAAGCACTGTGCCTCCTCAAGAAATAAGTGACTCTTCCAGAAAAACAAAATGTCCCTAATAAGTGTCACTAATAAATGTCACTCATTAGAGAGGCACAGTGGCACATGCCTGTAATCCCAGCGACTCAGGAGGCTGAGGCAGGAGGATCACAAGCTCAAAGCCAGCCTCAGCAGCTTAGGGAGGCCCTGAGCATCTCAGCAAGACCCTGTTTCTAAATAAAAAATTTTTAAAAAATTTAAAAAGGGTCGTGGATGTGACTCAGTGGTTAAACACCCCTGGATTCAATCCTTGGTACTAAAATAGAATGTCATCAATAAATGACAAAATGTCATCAATAAGTATCACCAAAGAGGCCCAGGCAGGAAACGGCAAACAGGTCTCTTCTAGAAGGAGTTCTTGTGTAGAAGGTTGACTTGTGAATTCCTCTATTTGAACTCACAAACCCCTGATGCGTTTCTCTCTAGAGAGACACCATAGGGCCACTTCCCTTTTAGAAGAATGTGTTCATTTCTTACTGACGCTTTATAGCTTATCACTGAGTTGCTTAAACCAATGCAAATTTGCATTTATTGCATTTATTCATTTTTTTAGTTATACATGAAAGTAGAGTGTATTTTGATACATAATATATTCATGGAGTATAACTTCCTATTCTTGTAGTTGTACATGATGTGGAGTTACACTCTTTATATATTCGTATATGAGCACAGGAAAGTTCTGTCCGATTCATTCTACTGTCTTTCCTATTCCCATCCACCCTAACCCTTCCCTTTATTCTCCTTTGTCTAATCCAATGAACTTCTATTCTTCTCTCCCCACTACCCATTATTGTGAGTCAGAGGAACATTCGGCCTTTGTTTTGGGGGGCATTGGCTTATTTCGCTTAGCATGCTATTCTCTAGTTCCATACATTTACCAGCAATGCCATAATTTCATTTTTCTTCATGGCTGAGTAATATTCCATTGTGTATATATATACCACAATTTTTTCATCCATTCATCTGTTGAAGGGCACCTAGGTTGGTTCCATAGCTTGGCTGTTGTGAACTGAGCTGCTATAAATATTGATGTGGCCACATCCCTGTAGTATGTTGTTTTTAAGTCCTTTGGGAATGAGCCAAGGAGTGGGAGAGCTGGGTCCAAGGGTGGTTCCATTCCAAGTTTCCTGAGGAATCTCCATCCTACTTTCCAGCATGTTTGCACCCATTTTCAGTCCCACCAGCCAGCACATGTGTTCTTTTGCATTTCTGTAGAAGTGAGAGATCCGCCTCCTTAAGATAACACTGATATGTGGGTGAGGCTGGGTTCCCTCTGGGGACGCGGGCTCATTTTCTCGCCTTCTCCAGGTTCTAGACGCTTGCTTGGTGTGTGGCCCGTCCCTCTGTGTTTCTAGCCTCCACTTGGGTAATCCTGTCTCTTTCTCGGACTCTGAATCCCCTGCGTCTGTTTGTGGTTCTGCGGATTGTATGACCTTCCCATCACCCACCAACTCCCTTTTCACAATCAGGCGACGTGTGCAAGGCTTTGGAGACCAGGACACGTTCCAGAGCGCCATGGTTTGGGTCAGCATCCCTCAGAGGTCCGGGTGTTCGAGGCTTCGCCTCCTGACCCTGGTGCTATTTGCAGGTCGTGGAGATTTTAGGAGGTGGGACTTGTAGAAGTCTGCAGTTCATTGGGCGGGTGGCTTCTTCGAGTTTCCTTCACTCCCTGGGCACCAGGCAAGCAGTTTTCC